GTGTGTATATATATATATATATATATATATATATATATAAAGTTTCTTGATCGATCGCATCTGGCAGACAAGGAATTCGAGACAGTCAAGCAAGTCACGCATACACAACATCGCAATTCAGCAAAAAAGCAGCACAAAACGCATAACTATTGCAGAGTTTAGAGGAAATTCTCCGAGTCACTCATTCCGAGGTAGGAGTACCGGGGAAATACGGTTACAAAACTCGAGTAAGTCACTGCGATTAGCAACCTTTCAAAGGCAAGTCAAACAATAATACCGCAATCTTCCTGATAACTGGTCTTCCGTTCGTCAGCTAACCGTTATAAACACCACCCAGGCTCTGCATGCAAAGCTGTCTCAATGGATTGTCTGAGAACGCATATTTGAGTCAAAAATTGAGAATCTAGACATGAAAACTGTACAAAAGTGGATGTAGTGGAGTCAGGAATGGAAAAGACGCAAGTCAAGCGGTGGGGGTACACCTGACAAGGGTAAAACGGGCTTTGCTGGTGAATAGTTGAGCGGCACTTCTTGGCCGACAGAAGCAGAGATGTTGAATACAGTGTCAGTCTCTTCGAGGTCCGTGTTAGTCAACAAATCTGTGAAGCTGAAACCAGGTTCAGGGTCCCAGTTCAAGAGGGAATTTTGGGCACGATTCTGTTCGCTCGTAGCACACAACAACGTGGTGTCTTGTTCGTACAGTAGCTGCGGATAGTTCTGATGAGGAGCGCTCAAATCTACCGGGTTTAGGGACAGAGAGAATCCGAAAGAGGCATCACCAGAAAGGTCGATAGCAGTTTCGTTTGACCCACTGGCAGTGAAATATTGAGATTCCGTTAAATCCAAAGCATCCTCTTGCCCGTGAAACGTTTCCCCATTAACAGTGAAGCAACCGAGGACATCAAGCGAAGTACTAGAAGGGGCACCAAAGCCAGAGAGCATCCGCGCTTCTGGATGAGACGAGAGGTCAAGATTGGTCGATAAGTCGCACACCTGAAGCAGGAAAAAATAAAGTGACGGGTGAGCGGACGACAACAACTGCGTGCGCCTAAGCCCGAACCGTTCCAACAGATGAAGGCCGAGTTACTGTTTGATGGGATACAACACGGCTCGTATTCGTTGGCTATGAAGGTACTTTCTCAAAAAAACTTCACCAGCATACAGCGGTAGTAGAACAGCTCCAATAGGAGTAGAAATATCTTGCTTCATGATCATCATTTCAAGAATATGAAGGGATCCAGAGATTTACAGAATAAGACATTCCAAGTATGAGCTAGATATGAGTAGTCGGTATACTGTAACATCACACGGAATTTTAACGTCGCTAATGTGATTCGTTATACAAAGCGATAGTTCTTTCAATTACTTCCTCCGGGGTATCGCTCGCTGCTCCTGCTGACGGTCGGCAGAACAAGTGTTGTTGGCCTTTAACTACGCCGTAAAACAGCAAGGTGGCGGCCGATAGTTGGTCAGCCAAAAATGGTGGTTGCACAGGGATGGAGGCTGTGATGAGTGCTGTCGGCGGACAAAACGGTCACGTTTTATTCCTCAGATTTAGAGGGCAAACAGTGTAACCGGGAAGCTAAGGAGGAATGTGACCGGACAATCATAACGCGGATCAGATGGAGCCAGACAAAAGTGGTCACTAAACGAAGGGTGGTCGTTACACAGAGGGTATTGCTGTAGACCATTTGGCACTTTGTGATGAGATTTTAATAAGGAATACCTGAGAATTAACAAAAGGGTGTTCACAGGACAAATCTAAACGGATGACTAGTCCAGATAAGGCTCAAACATTCATGCTCAAAGAGTGGCAGAAATAAGTGACGGAACAAGTGACCACGCCAGATACCCTGGACATAAGCTAGGATCACCAAACTTGATCCAGCTCTGTACGCTCTCCATACAGGGTAACAAACAGCTAATCAAAAAATTGCCTCACCTTGAATTTTTATCTAACCAACCAGCTTTCTGACAATCAACGAATGTTACCAGCGGGTTAACGCGAAAAACTCTACAGTACATTGGTCACCCTAAGCGCGAATCTCTCTTCAGTTGAATTTCCTGATTTCCAGGAGCGAAGACCGTCATCTGAGCTGGTTGGCTGTCAATGTTCGACGAAAGTTATGATTTCCTCAACAATAGGATCAACCGACGGCCTCTAGAAGGTGGACTCTTAGAGCCACCGCCATTCTGATGGGTTAGTCTAAACGGACCCAGTCGTAAAACAACAGTTCCTAAATATTTTCAGATTTACATCCACAACACCCTCCTTCAAAGAGTTCTCATCCCACCCTGGTTCACCATCATCATCATCGTCATCATCAGTATCAGAGACAGCAACATCAGTGTTGACACTGATGCTTCAGTGCCGTACAACCAAAGGGTTTGTCTAATAACATTTAAAGTCTGGAGTGAAAAGAAGGGAAGAAGAGTAAGGGAGGCAGGGGGCCTGTGCCAAACATTCTGAGGTGCCTACACCTCCAACCGCTCAATCAGACTATCTAGAAAGAAAGTGACAGCACGAAAACCACTGACATCGATTAGCCGCCATTTCCTGCAACGTCTACAGCCAAGCACAGGTGCGGCCACGGGGACCCCATCCTGCAAGGCGTACAACATCAACAACACCCACTCTTCGTGATCTCTTTCACGCCTTTCTGCCGAGTCATGCGTTGTCCACTTCGCGGTTTGCGCCATTCTGAAGGAGGTACGGGGAACATCACTCGCCTCGGTAGACGGTGTTTCGGCATGCGTAGCACATGGCTGAGCCGTCGTAGTAAATCGTTCAGCTTTAGCACCCTTTCGGCGCCTAACTGCCATGCCACCAGAAGGTAACACGAGGGCTGGGATACTGCCAGGCTGCCCAAACCTAGACAGGGGAAGTCGAGAGGCCGAGGTCGGGTTCGAACCACGAACCTTCCGGTGAGTAAATTCGTGCTTTAACCACTGAGCTATCTCGCCATTGTAGTCGATAGTGCTGGACGCTTTCCGCGATTGAACTACCTGCCGCACAGCCAAATATCCGTTTTCTACTCACCTCGTTATTAACCAGTTGACGTCATGCGAAACTGGCAGCGGTGATCAAAAACCTGAAGACGCCTCATATCATCTTTCCGAAGGGGCCACGTCCAGCAGCCATACAAGACAGCCCTTACTGTAGCCCGGTACATGAGACCCTTAAGACTCTGGTCCAACTACTCTGGTGAGTCTAATGAAATGGGTAAGCACTGGACCCAAGTTTCTCTCGTATTGGAGCTCAGCATCAGTGAATCCTTGCATAAGCTTGGTCGTACCGGGATTTGAACTCCGGAAATCCGGAAAGCGAAGCAAGCGTGATACCACCATTCCAGCTGCACACGCTGGACGTATCTGAATAATCTCAGCCGAATAGGCGAACGGGTTCACGCTTAAGTGATGGCTTGCCTGAAGCCTTGAATCATGACGTCAAGACACTGTTAACACGTGGTTTGTCAGCGAGGTAGACATAGTTGCCGAGACAGAATAAACGACTGAGTACGAAACTACACCATGTTCACCAGTAGTAAACGCAGGAAAATGAGCCGGACTATTCTACGGTGATTCAACTATGTACCAGCTTCAGTAGACTGCTTCAGTGAGGGACTCCAATCAACTTGTCACATCAGACCGACTGTACTCTTAATGTACGGGTTATGAGGCGTACCAAAGTGCTACGGTCAATCATCTTAACTCAAGTTGCTGTACGCCTTGTTGTCGATTCCTCTAATTGTGCTTTAGCGTTTAAGGTTACATTAAATAAAGACACAACGCAAACAACAAGTAAAATCCACCTTAGCGAGGATGACAGTTGTATCACTCTATTCTCTGTGCAAGTGTTGGGACCGCTTCTGGAAAAACCTGATGGGTGACGAGCGTGATGGCAAGGTAGGCCGTGCATGGTGAGCCAACAACTACGCATGTCCCATCGAAACTATTTCCATGAAAGGTAGGGAATGCTTAAGACGAATTACCTTATTAAGACCTTCATGGGCTCAATTCAGTATTGAAGGCATGCCCTTAGGAAGCCAAGCGCACCAGCTCAGCCCACTGCTTATAGAGTAAATGAATAGGGTCTTGACAGTTGTCAAGGTGAGTCAGAGTATTTGCCTCACGCCGTATTTGTTAGGTGTCATTAGACGATATGAGCCTAACTGGTGGGAGGCAGTCAGGCCGCACCACAGGAAAGTTCAGAGTAAATTTGGACTGAGAGCTCGGGGTAGCTCAGTGGTTGGGGAGCTAACTTAATGAGTGGGAGATCGGGGTTTGAATCCGACCACAACATCTTGACTTCTGTCTAGGCTGGGGGACCTTAAATTTGGACTGAGAGCTCGGGGTAGCTCAGTGGTTGGGGAGCTAACTTAATGAGTGGGAGATCGTGGTTTGAATCCGACCACAACATCTTGACTTCTGTCTAGGCTTGGGCGACCTAGCAGTATCCCAGCCCTCATGCTTCCTTCGGGTGGCATAGCAGCTAGATGAGCGATTAACATGAAGTTGGACTAGAACGACTGATCTGAGCACATGGTGGGTTTGCTTTGGTGTATTTTAAGACGTGTAATTTATGCCCGGCATAAGGTCGTATACGGCTTTAAATGAAGTGGTCAAGCAACATAAACTACCGGATATATATGTTCAAACCATCCTAGGGACCTGCAGACGGCATTCATAAATACACTGATGTTGAACGGTTTATGTTTGCTTTTTGGATGGGCATTATAGAAAGAATGAAGATCTCACCTCATTGACCGCGGCCGTAGCACAAACGTCCGAATTGCACAAATTCATCGGCGAGTTCACTGGTGGAGCACCCTCGGTGTTTGCAGCGCCGACATAGGGAACGGTCTGGTGGGTGCTTTCGAACTGGACTTCCGATGCGGCTGGGGGCATATCCGGTTGATCTACGACGTATAAAGCGTACAAGTTAGGGTGAGTGGTGTTCAGGAAGACCTCGTGCGAGGTTCCCACTGGGTCATAAAGGGAGATCGGTACAACAGTGGGAGCTGAATGGGAGGTGTAATTGGACGGTGTGGCTGTCGAGAAATGGATGAGCTTGGGGTCTGATTCTGGAGGGTTGGACTGCATCATGAGGTAGGAGTTAGTCAGTTGGGCAGTATTGTCAGATGAAGCCGCTAGGCAAGCGGGTTGCGATGTTGAACCGTTTTTGGCCTGGAAAATAAAGATGACACGGGTGGTCGGTCAGGATTCAGAGAAAGACCACTTTCTTACCATGCGTGATATTCAGGAACGACAGTAAAACCGAATCAGTGAATGGAGGACAGTGGCAAAACGAATACCTAGCTACCAGTGATCAAACAAACGACTAAGACGCTCAGAATGTCTATTACAAGACTTAAATTCGTCCACCGTAAACCGAAACGCTCACTGGTGCTACCTACATTATTCGAACAAGGAGCTCTTGAGTTACAGGAAAACTCGATGCATACAAAGGCGCAAGTCGTAGCAACTTCGCCCTCTATTTACTTTCCTTATACGCGATTGAAAAGAAGAGCAAGAAACAAACAGTTCCACTGGAGGAATGTCGATCTTTGATTAAATAATGTTAGCCATGCACGTGACGAAATGAATGGATTTGCTGATCGCAGTAGGACGCAACGGGCCACACACAAGTAATGCCTTTGAGAGAACTGATTAAGTGACCAGAAAGGCAGAAAGAGCAAAAGAGCTGGAAAAAAGCAACATAGCAAGTAGGGCGGTGGACAGATTATGATATCATTTGGGTAGCTTTTGCAGTCAGGCCCCTCGGCTAGGCCCAGGTCGCAGGATCAGCCTACCTACACTCGCATGGTGAGCAAAAACGAAAACAAAAAGTCCCATGACACAGCCTTTCACGACCCGATCAGATGTTTTTTTTTACCAAAGATTGGTTGATACAAGCAACCTAGCCATCCGTGAGTAACGTACGTTGTCAAGTCAACAGCAAGCTGGCGAAACACAAACACCTATAAGCAAAAAGCACCATCGATAATATGTAATGTGAAGAGCAGAGCCCAGAGCAGTCCGTACCAAAAGTCAGCCACGACCTGCGAAGAGCGATCAACTCTGGGTTGGACCGGAAACTCTTTTTACATGCTTGTCTTTTTGGAGGACTGGGGTACTTAGTAATAAAGGTCTATGCGAGTTCAAATTTTGGAAAACCAGTGGTACTTGTTCACCCTGCAAGTGAGATCTGGGAAAATGGCACACAACTTTTGTACGAATCGTAAAAAGACACTCGAACGAATAAGCAAATAATCCGAGAACAACTGACATTCTAAGAGAAATTGTCGCAAAGAAGAGAGATCTGAACTATCCATGAGCCGTTGTCTTTTCTGGGAGGTCAGACGTCAGGTCATGGTCGACGGAGAGAGCTGTTGCACTTACTGAGGGAGAAGTCAAGTTTAGAGGTTTATTGTGTACTAAGGGAAATGATAATAGTGAAAGGTCCACTATAAATATCTCAAGAATATTTTTAAACAATACACAGTGAGATCCAGGTAACGCCTTTTGTGTGAATGGGACCCAGGAAGCTTTGGACTGAAGAAACCTAGTTGTAAGACTATGAGGACACTTCTTTCATGCGTCGTAACCTTCGGACGTAGGCCACGTACAAGTCATTTGGCTGACAGATATTCTGATGATCTCTCAGCGGAGAGACTCGAGGTACGAATGTGACTATCGTGGACCCTGAGTGAAGCCTGAAATTCGTGTAAACTAGCGATCCAGTCCTTGTTTAGGGATCAAGTATAAGATGAATCCGCTGGTAGACTGAGTCTTTTACAGTAGCGGAAGCAACCCACATGCCCCAATGAATAGTCTAACAGGTAAATCCGAGTAGTGGGTCATTCAGGAGTGCAGGAGTGCACGTCCAGTAAGCCGGACTGGGACTGAGAAACAAGCTTTCATGAAAGAGCTGTCAGAAAAACACTAGCTTACCTGTGAGCCAGATACTCCAGATCTTTTTACCTCACTGGCTCGATCACCTGGATGGTACCGACGCATGTGTTTTCGTAGGGACCCGCTGTCCGTGTAAGCCCGCTTGTCCCCACAGATCGAACATTTGTACGGGCGAGGACGAGCGCGGTCGATTGCTGTCTCCACTTCTAGGGCGGTCAAACCAACGACAGTAGAAACCGGAGTAGGAGTGGGGATTTCCGAAACCAACTTGTGATGTTTACGACAGCGTGATCGTTCGGAAGTTCGACTGTATGCGCGTTTGCAAACCTCGCAAACGTATGGTTTCCGACCTAGGGTAGGAAGGTAGGGTATAGCACTGATCGCTGGGATTCTGAATATTTAGTGTTATGACACGGTGTTTATACGAAGCATCCTGTCTACCTAGGAATGTAGGTTTTTAGATTAGCATCAATAAAAGACAGCTAATTCTGGCAGCTTTCTCAACAAGGGTTGAACTAAGAATTTTTCAGACAGTCAATGCGTTTCCAGCACAGACAGGGACTGACGTAACCAAGAGAACAAAATCCGTGTGACTAGAAGAATACTAAAAAACGGTATTGAATCCAATATAGTTTAGGATTAGGGGCGTCCCACACATGTTGGAGCATTAAACGCAACAGTACAACGGAAGAGGTTAGACTAAATAACAACTCACCTTTATGAATCAAACGGTGCCTTTCCAAATTCACCTTTCGGTGGAATGTCATACCACACTCGGGACATCGCACTGGCTCGGGTTCCCTGTGCCAGACCGTATGACGTTTCAGTAAACATCTAAAGGGGCCAGATAAAAATATAACGCACACGAAATACCCAACAGGATGGCATTCAGTCTACACAGTCCGTTCGATGCCAGCGTAGAAAAGATCCGCCGTGCTCTCTCATAGACTGTTTTTCCATAGAATTGGTCAGGAATGAGGCATACACAATACGGCTAGACGTAAAGCCGCCACGCTCATACAGATCCGGAGCAGCCCGACTAGCTCTGCTATTGGTCAAATTGTTATTGTTACCCGCCGTCAGGGTCCTATGTCTGGAAACCTTCACTGAACTACCGATGCAATCGTACAGTTAAGAGGATCACCACATCCCACCACAAAGCATGTTGGACTCCCAAGAAACTATGCGTGATATTACCAGATCCAAGGACCGCTTGGCTCAACAACCACAGGGGGGTAGGTGTACAGTCGTCTTTTTACTGCCATGACTACACATGAAGAAGACCACTGGGCCACGGCAAAGGAACGATAAACAACAATCGTCTAGCTGTAAGGCCCTGTCTGTGCCATACAACCACAACGTTTATCTAATTGTATTTGAAACCTTCGAATGAAAACAGTGGGTGAGGGGGAAACAACCTGGTCCTGGGCTATTGCGAACATTCTGAAGTGTCTATGCCTCCAAGTATCCAATCAGATAGCCTGGAAGGAAACCGACAACACGAACTCCACTGATATCGATCAGCCACAATTTCATACGTCTCCAGCCAATGGCAGGAGAGGACACAAGGATTCCATCCTTGAAGGCGTACTGCACCGAAAACACTAACTCTTCGTAATCCCTTTCGTACCATTCTGTTAAATTGTACATTGTCCGCCTCGCGGTTTATGCCGTTCTGAAGGAGGAATAGAGAACAATATTCGTCTCGGTAGACGCTGTTTCGGCATGCATGGCACATGGCCGATCCGCCGTAGTTGATAGAGCCGGATGGTTTCTACGAATGAAGTACCCACTGAACAACCAAACATCTGTTGCCTAGTTATCTCGTTACGAATTCGTTGACGCCATCCGACACCAGCAGAGCTTCTGAGGTGTCGACGGTCAAAAACCTAATCCACTCTGTATACCAGGTAGCTATTTAGGCTTTGAAATTTAACCATGAGTTATGTTGAATGTCTGGATTGCCTTTCATGACGGAAGTAAAATTACCAGACATGAAGAGTGATAAGCACTCTTCCCACGACACTGTGTACTGGGAGAAGACCGCTGACCAAGACATCTGTTCCAACTGAAGATAAAAGGATGTACAAACTTGCGCTTTTATCACCCAGAGGGATACAAGAGCAGTCGACAGCAGTGAGCAATGGCCTAGTCGGATTTATACTATGAGGTGATAGGCAAAAGCATGATTATTTTTATCACAACCTCAGGTAATGTAGTACCTTTTAGAAAAAGAACGACACAAAAATAAAGCGGTTTACTACCAATAGTTCAAAGTCTGTGAACCTTCAACTTCGAAACAGAAAGTTTCGACACGTATGACAACCGTGAACATTACAGTTGACCTCTTGCCTTAACGTTTGGTGGTGACATCGACCGACTGCAGTGAGATATTCACACCTCGTCAATCACCCACGACTAACTGAAAAGTGTACCAAGACCGGCCGGTTATTCTAGTTCAGACACCCAGTAGCAATTGACGTGTGAAATAAAAATGAGCCGAATAACAATCACGGTTCGAATCCACGAAGAATTCGCAGCCTTTGATGAGCAGTACGGTTGGTCTGTGTGCTCGAAGAAACACAACAGATAACAGATTACCGTCCAAATTGATGAACAGACTTACAGGTATTTGAATGGAATACGATTCAGCGCGAACTTGCAACCTGGCCATTCGCAAAAAAACCTCTGTGTTGGTTTCCTGGTTCGACCTTTTCGAATGCACAGGCCTGCACATTCAGGGCGCTAAAGAATAGATAAGTAGACAAATAGACCTCCGACTTGGAACCATAGACATTCTGCTTGTCAAGCGGACTGCCCAAAATAAATCTGGCGGAGACAGACGTGAGGTATCGGTCTAGAAAAAAACAAAGATACAACACCTTCCACCAGTTTTCGCTTCTGTTGTGCAATGTGCGTGAAGAGCTTGACTTCCTACTAGCACCCTACTGAGTACGCAATGTAGGTCGGGGTGCCGTCCGGACGGGTTTCCAACGTCAGTCTAGTCAACCTAATGATGCAACTGAAGTTTTCAAGGTAATATACAGAGATTCGACGAAGGTTAGGTGGTTGCATGTGCGGAAGAAAACTGGTTCTGCAGCAGAGGTGGGGTGACGCTTCGATAACCCACTGAGATCATCTCTATATGCAAGGGGGCAGAAGCATTCCAGTTTTCAAACTGTGTGCGCGGAGTTCGATACCTTTTCCTGTACAAATATCAGTGGATAGCCGTTTGACAGATGTAGTTCGCCCAATTAGTGCAGTTCCTTGTCCTGTGAGTATATTCATCTGGCTCGCTCACGCCGAGTTCGCAGTATTGCCCGCCTATGCTTTATTGACACAGAAATGGAGTAGTGTAACCAAAGATCAGTCCAAGTTTGTTTGCAATAAACTGGCCTGCAGATGTTTTCATCATCTGGACCTGACTAGACTTTACAAGGTGTAACCCGAGTGATCAATATCGCGCGAAATACGGGTCATATTGAGGAGAAACTTCATCAACGAATCTATTGATAAAGTAAAACACCTGCTACACAACTACCATAGAGTTGCGGACTCCGAAAATTACAGAATCCTACCAATATTCGAATCGTCATTAACTGTCACAACTTGCGATCTACAAGCACGACATGAGATAGATTTCGGCCAGTAGCACTAATGGCCGACAAGAACACTCTAACCCTCACCATACTGCCCTCGCTTTATGAATATACCGTTGGGTGAAACGGTGAACCTCGAAATTTTGGTAAACGCTGAAGAACAACTGTAAACAACGGCCACTAAACTGAAGACAATACTGCATCAAAACGCAGTTATTTGCTGAGAAACCAGTCTTTTCCCACAGACGCACCTGCAATCCAACCCCACCAGTCAAATTACTTCTATTTACACCCGTAAAATCCCATATGATCCATCATTTCACGTGCGGGTGTTAGGCCACCTAGTGGGCAACTCAACAAGGAAAGACAACTTCCACCGAGGGTAGACGACTTCTTGTCAGCCATAGTGAGGAAGCTTTTAAACCAACCAAACCTAGAAAAGACAAAAAAGATAATCGTTCAGCTGTGACACCCTTCCGGCGTCTAGCTTCGATGCCACCCGGAGGAAGCATAGGGGGCTGAGATATTGCCAGGTTGCCCAAACTTAGACAAGACAAATCGAGATGCAGAGGTTGGGTTCAATCAAATACACAGGAATTATTGTGCGAATATACAATGGTACGCTCTCTCTTCAGGAGGCACTCAGGGATAGCTACACTTTCAACATGCACAATTTGAAAAAAGTCGGCGTGTCATTCGTGAAGTTTGCTAAACGCGTTTCATAGCTCCATTGCAAACATACTGGCCTGTTCAGAGGTGATAAATCCGTTGTGATACGCTGGTGTTCTCTGAGTAGCGGTAAATCAATCGTCTCGCACTTTAAAAGTGCGGAATTCAAATTCTGGCATGGCCAACGATATGCGCTGCTAATCGGACCTAGTAGGAGTTAAAACTCGAATTTAGTGCTTCTCCTCTTTGATGGGAACCTGTGCGAATAACGGGGCCAGGACAAGAGGAGGCCTATTCAAACTAGGATAAGCTGAAGTAAACAGCACAAATACTGCAACCATATTCACCTTATAAGTGTCAAGAGATAGGATAATAAGGATAATAAATAATCGCTGAGCTGTAAAACCCCTTCGGTGCCTAGCTTCCATGCTACCCGAAGGAAGCACGAGGGATGGGATACCGACAGGTTGCCCGAGCCTAGATGGAGGAAGTCGAGAGGGAGAGGTCGGCTCCAAACCACAAACCTTCTTGTCAATAAATTCGCGCTCTAACCACTAAGTCATCTCACCTCCAAGAAACAGGATAGAATGAAGAATAAGAGCAAAGCAACCTACATTGTGACTGAAAGTATCGATCGGAGGCAGGCAAGCTTTGTAACGGCGGGGTCTCCTGTGTTGGAACGGTGGTGGAGGTCTCAAAATACGAACGTCTGATTGAAAGGATAAATCCTGAGGCAGTAAGGCTGAAATCGGATTCGTGACTCTCATAGCAAGTTAGTTATAATTCGTCCCTCGGCATCGCGTCATCTGAAACAGGGAAATGAACGCAAAGTATGCACAGAGGAACGAGCCCGAAGGTCAAAGGACTGGTACTTGAAAAGGTCCACGAGCAAGTCAAATATGACTGATTAGTAACAATAAGCCTGGAGTAAAACAAACGTTTTTGTCCCCCAACTATGTTTAAATCGAAAAAAAAACTTTAAGCGCTATGACGCCCCGGAATTTTCAAAATGTACAGTTCAAAATCGCAAGTTAGGAACTGGCTTTTGACAACTGAGAAATAGATTTCTCCTCAATCAGTGATACTCTGTGTCCTTCGGTTAGTCATCCTGATACAGGCAAACGACTGACAGTAGCATATGAACTGAGTACCTAGTACAACATGCAAACCTGGCTAGGAGTATCAGTCCCAGGAAAAGGAATCAAACTGTCCAGAGATGACATTTTCGGGACATAGCTTGTATGCAATCTATCCTTAACAATAGCACTGAGGTTGCCAAACCTAGGCGGAAAATAAACAGCTAAGGCACCGTTTCGAACACCAACAGCTAGCTTAAATCCCAACCGGAAATACTTTGATCGAAGAGTCAAACAGCCAGAAACGCGTTTTATCTGCTTGTGGCTACGTACTACGTTCGTGTCAAAGTATTCAAAGAGCTTGATCCCGGTCGGCACACAGTGAACCATTGAGATTGAATGCTTCTCCCTACTGGTTGCGATTCAAAAAGCAGTGTATCACCTTGACAACCTGTTATTTAGTCTCCCGTTCCCCAGCATGTAGAAGTTGCCAAGTCTTCGAGCCAAAAGATATTAAATCACTGGCCGTCTATTCATGTTCTCTATGTCGACGACGTAAGGTGATCGCGGAAAAAATGCGATAGTATCGAAGCTTGTATTTAAAGGTATCAGAAAATTGTAAATTAACTTTGTTCGGCAGTGCCAGGGGTTTTGTGCAAACTTGTTGACGTGTGAGGAGCTTGGAGATATGAAGAAGGGAGCGTAACTGTGAGGTGGACAGGGGTTGGTTGGAAATTGGGCCAACTGCAGTTGAGTCTGGGATTCGTTGAAAAAGGGCGATACATTTCTCCATTTCCTCGGACTGTAGAGCTACCTGCTTTGACTGCAGGTCCGGCTCGAAACCATTGCAAAACCCATCCACCAACTCCCTGAACGATCCAGGAACCTCCTCCTTCTCCTTCCTCTTCTCAGGAACATCCGACAGTTGGGGAGAGGGCAGATCAGGATTGCCGTCAGCATGTTTCAGCAAATGCAACTTGGATTGGGCAAAGATCCACAGTAGATTTTCAGGCAAACTGGCTATGACAGCATTCACTTCTGCTACGCTTTGCGCTGGTTCTTTCGACAAATTCTTTAGACAATCCAAAATTAGGTTCCAACGTTCGATAGCAGCAGTATTGATTCTTAATTTGTGCTGTTCGCGCATGGCTGGTTGGAAGACTTCATTCTTGTGCGAGGCTAGTTTTTTTATACCTGCAACAGTTATCGGGAAGACTGAGGCCAGAAATTCTTCGTCAAACGGTTCAGCTTCATAAGTTCGCAACAGATACAAAAGCTGTCTTCTAGCATTCCACGACATCACACAGGCTTCAGTATCGTCCCTAAAGAATCAAGTCACTGATCAAGTATGACTCACTTGAGAAGTTTCCGCCTTAAAGTCCATCGTTTTACTTTGTAATTCGATTTGCTAATTTGTCGTCTGGCTGCTTCAGTGACGTCTTCCATTTTTTCGCCCCGCTCCAAGCCATCGATGACTCTTTCAGCGACATTTTCCATCCAATCAGACGACCAACGAACTATTCGTATCCATTGCGAGGGTCTTGATAAGAGTATTGCCCTTGCCATGAAACCGCTATTAAATTTCCGGGATAGAAAATTTAACAAAGATTGCTTGTCACAACGAGGTGAATTAGTTCAGATAGTTCAGTGTTGTCTACTGAGCGAGCCTAAAAAGAAAAGCCATGGAGAAGTAAGAAACAAATCCATCAAATGTATACTCTAGATGAACACCAAAATGTATGGGATTCGCGAAGTACAGTCATTGGTCAATTACAGTAGTGTCAACAAGGCTCAACTGAAACTACCATTTTTGATATTCTCCCATCGAGACCGCTGCCTGAAGGCAACCCCATATTTCAGTTTGCATTGTCTCGAGCAAATCGCAGTGTCAGAGACAACGGCAACAAAACCTTCAGTTGCAGCACCCTTCCAATGCGTCGCTGTCATTCAGCCATCTTTTGGCATGTGCCTTGAACCTTCAAAGTGCAAGGTCATGCTTCAGAACGTGCCACCTGCCAACGTATCCCTTACATTTCAAGGAGAATCACTGGAGACTGTGGAAAGCTTTACATACCTCAGTAGTTGTATTAGCTCTGACGGAAGTGTGTCTGGTGAAGTCAGTGCAAGAATATCAAAGGCTCTAATCACGTTTGCTAATTTGCGTCACTTGTGGCGTCAAAAAGACAGCTCACTGGATCTTAAGGGTCGTGTGTACCAGGCTACAGTAAGGGCTGTGTTGTTGTATGGGTGCGAGACACGGCCTCTGTGGACAGGCGATGTGAGGCGTCTTCAGGTTTTCGGCCACCGATACCTCAGACGTGTGGCTGGTTTTGGATGGCGCCAGCGTGTTAGTAACGAGGTGATTAGAAAACGGGTATTCGGTTGTGCTGCAGGCACCTCAATCCGAGAAAACATCCAGCATCATCGACTACGATGGCTCGGTCATGTGCTACGCATGCCAAAACACCGTCTACCGAGACGAGTGTTGTTCTCCGTGCCTCCTTCAGAATGGCGCAAACCGCGATGTGGACAGCAAATGACTTGGCAGAAAGGCGTCAAAGAGACCAACCAAGAAGAGTTTGGGTGTTGTTGGTGTTGTGCGCCTTGGGGGATGGGGTCCACCAAGGCCGCACCTGTGCTTGGCTGGAGACGTTGCAGGAAATGGCGGCTAATCGATGTCAGTGGCGTTCGTGCTGTCAGTTCCTTTCCAGATTTTCTGATTGAGCGGTTAGGGGTGTAGGCACCTCAGGATGCTTGACATAGGCCAAACACACACTGATGTTGATGTATTTGATGATGATGCCTCCCCGGATGGGGACACCAGGGCTCAACTCACCAATGGCTATTGACACTGGCAGAAATGACCCAATCACGTAGTCCGTGGCGCTCATCCATTGAAGCTATCGCCTTCAATGCATAGCTATCCAATTTCCAAACTGAACATGTCGTCGGCTCCCATTCTTCACTGTACGTCCCACACCATCCCCTTTTTTGGTGATCGAAACTGTAGAAGCTGGAACCAATGCGCCTATGGTACACAGTTTATAGTTGATAAACTGAACTGAGTTAAAACACGAATGCTACGATAATTACAATAGATTATAACGAGCCTTTGGTTGTTAAAACGGCTGCCTCTGATGTTGCCACCGCCGCATCCCTCAGCCAAAACTATCGACCGGTGGCCTTTTTCTCGAGGACACTCAATTTAAGCAAGAGGAATCATTTTGGCATCGAGGAGGTTGACGCAGTAACAGATCAGTGCGTGTCACAGTCTACCAAGAAGACGACACAAGGAAAGATAGACAATAGTTGATCCTCGCAACCGGCAACTGGTCTATTTGGATTTAGGGCTAGTTCGTTGGTGGACACGGCCAAAGGATTCTCGCACACAACAGCAGTAATAATAATAATAATAATAATAATAATAATAATTTGTTCAGCTGTAACGCCCTTTCGGTGCCTAGCTGCAATGCCACCCGAAGAAAGCACGAGGGCCTTGATACGGCCAGGTCGCCCAAGTCTGGACAAGAGAAGTCGAGAGGCAGAAGTCGGGTTAGAACCATGGACCTTCGGTCAGTAGATTCACTCCAACCAGTTGAGCAATCTCTCCCCTACAATTTTATTAGGTGCTCTCCGTTGTCCGTGAGTATCTGGTCCAACTCAGGACGATCACCCAAATCGGCCTCGGTGACGTTAAACTGCCTATCGCAGCGTTCACGTCAACAGCCACCACAACGATATCTTATCTTTTAGTCCGTTGTAGGACACCCATGGCATCATAAAAACTGTGGCAGATATAGCGAAATAACCCGTCCGTTTATAAGCAGATACAATACACAGAGTGATGGACCTCTCCTAATTCGACAGTCATTCACCGACGTTGCCAAAACGAACCACACACAAACAACTATAAACGGGCAAGCGGTTAAGTAGAGGCTCAACACAACAGCGGCCTTACCGTCACCACAGGTGTGCAGACGGCGATGGGGATGTCAGTACCGTTTGAGTACTACTTAGAGTACTTGTTTCTGGCAGAATGCAACTGTAGACATATAGACCAGCTTTCGGAGTGTGAGAAGTGAAGTTGAGATGTTGGAAATTGTTACTGTTACGGATACATGAAGATGTAGCTGAATGTGATGCAAGACGAACAAAGAGGTTGGTCCTGATGCTGGGCATGCAGGGAGGATACCCACATTGGTGTGGAGGGGAAGATGGATACTCAAAGATGAGGGAGGCGTCAGAAATAGCTTTCGGTTATCCCCCTTTCCATATGGAGCCAGTGAGGTAGCACGCGACACTCAATGTAGTATGACAGCATTTTTATCTATGAGGATCCTATGAGGATGCACCAACGTTTGAATACTTCGACTCTGTGGAGATGATCAGTTTGGAGAATCCATTCCCCACAGACGTATGGTAGTACTGTGTACACAAGGAACTTCACTGGAAGGCCGAGATCTGAGTCTTTCCGAATTAAAGCACATATGATGCAGAAGCTTGCTGCTGAGCCAAACCGAAGTTCTGTTTCAAGTCAATACTAACCAAACTTCTTGTTCCACAAAATGGTGGCCAATATGAGGGAAAGTTTCTGCTAATTTTTAGACCACCAGTTAAGAAAGAAAGTTTTTATATGAATGAAAACTAAATCCAAAGCATTAAGAAAGCAACCATTAAGATCCTATGAGTTTTCGGCCCACCAGCCGGTTTGTAAGGTTACGCACCACCAAGGCCATACCATCAGAGACAGTGGATATATTCACCTATCTGCGTAGCTATAACAGGGCGGATTAAAAAAATCGTTCAGCTGTAGTACCATTTCCGTGTCTAGCTGCAATGCCATCCGAAGGAAGCACGAGGGTTGGGATACTGAAAGGTTGCCCAAGCCTAGACAGAGGAAGTCGGGGCGCATAGGTCAGGTTCGAACCACGGACCTTCCGGTCAGTAAATTCGTGCTGTAATCACTGGACCATCTCGCCCCGACTATGTGAATGTCAGAACCTGTCCTACTTTCCTCCTAGTTGGGCTGAGCGTTGCTGCGATGTGACGGTTTGTGCAATTCCATAACTCATTAGGTGTATGTGTGACAGACACTCACAGAGCCTCTCATACCAGTTTCCTGGCCCTCCAAGTCATCATCATCATTATAATTAGAGAGAGCTCTCCAAACGTTTCCGTACACAAAGCGGTGTCCGTCAGGGATGCCCACTCTCTCCATTCCTTTTCAACTTTGTGATCGATGAAATAATGAGACGAACGCTGGAGGGTCTTCAAAACCCTGGTGTTCAAATAGCCTGTG